TCTGGTAATTCTGGTTCAAATGTAGGTGGAGGAACTGGTAATAATCCTACTAGAGGAGGTTCGAATACTGAAGGAACTAATCCTACAGGTAGAACTAGTAATAATAATCCAACTGGCAATTCTGGATCTGGTTTAACTCAAAAACAAAAATTAGCTTTGGATGAAATATTCAAAAATCTCTAAATGCAAAGAACAGATAATAATAACAATGATTTGGAAGAATTGAGAAAAGTTTCAAAATGTCTTGCAGATTTACTTAATATTGAAAATATTAATAAAAAACAAATTTATTAATATTATATCAATGTTTAATTTATTAAAATATTTATTTAATACAACATCATTTATATTCTCTATATTATTTTCTTGATTTAAGAAAGAATATACTTCTCTAAAATATCGTAAAAAATCTTTTAAATTATCGTAAAAAAATTTGTCAGGATTATCAATTTTGTTTAGATAACTTTCAAAATACCAATAAATTGAACTTATTTTTAATTCTTCATAAAAATCTTTTTTGATTTTAATATTGTTAAATCTATGATCTTCTTTTAAAAAAGTATTTCCTAATTCATTAATATCATCAATTAAAGCACTTAAATATTGTAATATTTGTATTTGGTTTTTTAATTTTAATTGTTTGATTTTTTTATAAGGAAGATCAACAAATTCATTAACAATAAACATTCCAAAAACAGGTACTTTATATTCTGATAGTTTATTATCAAATTTTAAAATATCTTTTTTTATCCCGTCATAATAGTAATTATGTGAACAAGATTTGTTGTTTTTATTTTTACAATTTGTGCATTGATTTCGAAATTTTGCTTGAATGTATAATGGATATCTATTCCATTCACACGAGATATTGATACCATTATCGCCAATAATATAGAATTTTCCTAATCTATAAAAATCTATATTTTCAATAGTTCCATTTTCCATGATTTTAAGATTTTTATTATACATTATTTGCATTTTACCAAATTGAAGAGATAGTTTTTTATTTTGTTTATGTGTAGAATTGTGTAATAATTTTCCACCACTAAATTGATAAAATATGAATTTTTTCAGATATAATTTATATTTTTTTAGATAGAAAAATAATTCATTTTCAAAATTTTCTCCAGAAATTACACCAAAATGTTCGATATTGTATTCAAATGATAAAGTTTGTGGTCTCTCTAATTCATTCATATTATTTTAATTGAGTACTAAAATATGTTGATGTTTTATATTTGAATTAATTAATAATTGAATTAATAATATAAATATAAATAAATTAAATTTTGTTAATTGATTTGATAATGAAAGCAAAAATAAAAATTTACTTGATATTTTTATTGATCATTTTATATCTTGTGAGTGATGTTAAACAGAGATATATTTGTCAATGTTGTGGTGGTAATCATGCAACATCAAGTTG